ATTACTGACCTCTGTCATCATTTTAAGTGGGGGAACTTGCACAATCGGTGGCTGACTAAATACTTTTTTGCCCCACTGTACCTGCCTCAATGTTGGTGATGCACGCATGACGACACCTTTGAGGGCTCACCGCCAAAAGAGTCTGACTCACTGAGGATTTTCCAGCAAAGCCACGCCAACAGTCCAACTCCAAAGAACATGAAATGCATATGAAAGTGCACAACCCAGAGCTCAGGAAGGGAGTTGTTGCTGAGGACACATTGTGCAGAACTACAGGGGCACAATGGAAAAAAGCTACAGAGCAGGAAGTGATGTGATGGGCCTGTCCTCCTCCACCCTCGCAGCATTATGAAATCTGACCTCTTTCAAAGTGAAGGTTCAATCACAAACAGCAACCATATCCATGGTGGCTGAAATATTTGGGATAATAATCCATGAATGTGAGCACAAGCTTGCAGCATGCAAGATTTAAACTCTCATTAACTACAAAGCATGCAGAGTGGGAGAGTGAAGACACACGTGTTTAATTTGGAAATAAACATAGTGGTGGCACAATATATACAGTTTATGACTATAACATGGGAGCTTATTTGGAGGCAGTGGCTTTTTTACCACTAACGGTTTCTGCGTTAGTATGCAAGCACATGCACAAATACGCTTTTTTTTAAAAAATTGTATCCCCAAAGGCAACTTAAAGAAACTATAAGGCAATTGCCAAAGAGAGTTCAGGCTATGCTTAAGAATAAAGGTGGCCACACCAAATATTGACTTTCAGGCTCATTGGGGCTGTTTTGCCTTGTATGCAGCATTTCCACTTATGTTTTGCACATTTTAATAAATCGCTGGACCTTTTCTCCACTTTCCTAGCAAAATATAATGAAATGAGGGGCAGCTCAAGAGTTAGGCAAGTAATGAAAGTTAAATTATAGTAAACATTAAAACCTGATAAGCTACTTTCAGCTTATATTTTCAGTAGTTCTACTTTACTTCAGTAATTCCTGCTTGCTTTGTGGGTTTGTTTCATGAAGACGTGTGGAGGAAAC